CTCACCTCGAGGCGGCTCTTAAAGGGCCCTCGCGGCGCGTCTCAAGCCCGGCGGACTTGCCCGGGCCCCCGCTTCCAGGAAGCTTTCCGGCCTGGACTCGACTTCACTGGCCCCTCAGCCTGGCCCCACGGAGTGGCCCACAGAGAGGGTGCCAGGTCGCTAGCTCTCCCAGAAGGGTCCGCTTTTGTTCCAGTGACCATCCCCCACCCTCGCGCTCCTAGGCACCCATCGTGAGCGCTCCAGCCTTACCGGTCCACCCTTTCTGCGACCCTTGGGAGTGAGGACCAGGACCCCTTCTCCCACTCTATTGGAATGGAAACAGGAAGCCACGTTCCTACGAACTATGTGAGGTGGGGGGTCCCCCAAGCCCACGTGCTTCCACGTGCTAAGCCTCAAGCCCCACCGACTGACACCCAGCTCTTGACCTGCTGTGAAAACCTTCCCTACCCAGGCCTCTGGCTTCTCCTCCTCCCATACCCTGCCCCCAGGCTGTCGGTGTCGGCGCCCAGAGCCCGGGAAAAGAAGGCACGTGGCCGGCTGGAAGCTGGCGGTCCACAGCGGGAACCCAGCACGTGTAATTACACCTTGGGGTGGCGTTCCCCCGGAAGCCAACAGGGGCCAGAGACTCGCACAGGCGGAGTGTGTGTGTGTGTGTGTGTGTGTGTGTGTGACAGGCCAGCAGCGACATGGAGATGGAGGGCCCCTAAGGTGGGGTGGGGGTAGGGGTGGGGATGGCCTCGCAGCTCCACAATCCATGGGGCCTCCACTCAGGGCAGGTCGCCTACAGGGTACAGAGGACCTAGCCCTATGCAGGCAGTTGCTCTGGGGTGTAGGTTGTATGTGTTGGGCCTGCCCTATGGAGAAGGGGTGGACCTCCTCCAGCCGAGCCCACAGCCGGGCAGTCTCCCTCCCTGGGGAGGGAGCAAGGTGCTGGGAGATGGACCCCAGTCTGTTCTGCTTGGACAAGAGGAACCAGACTACTGACACATGACTCTGGCTGGCCTCCTCAGCCTGGTAGGAGGCTGGGCACCCTGCTATGTGGGTGGGGGTGTT